TAGAGCCCATTCAGGAATGCACATTTTACGTCCATCTGACACATCGACCAGTTACGCATATTGACTAGACCATCAATCAACCTGATTGTTTCGATTCTAGATACTAGTGCAAAGACTTCATCATAGTAAATTCCTTCTTTCTGAAGAATTCCGTTGGCTACAAGTCTTGCCTTGTGTTGAGTTATTTCACCTTTTGAATTCAACTTGACTTTGTATACCTATTTCACATCAATTGCCTTATTCCCTTTTGGGTAAAATAATTTTTCATACATTTTAAAAATATTTATAAATTAAATATTTATTCATTTAAATTTACTTTTTGTGGGAATAAAATTAAATAGCCATATAGGCAACTAATGCGATGGGTCAACTACACTGTCAATTAATATTAAAAAAAAGAAAATCGTTAACTTTCAGTCTTGATATCTTTGATATATTTTTTTTAATCTTTCTTTAAATTAACATTTATTTTTCTATAAATAATATGTTTTAATGATTCATTCATCTATTCATTTGCCTAAACTTACAAAGTCACCAACTAATTAAAGTTAGATAAAATATCATTTTTGTTCCTTTAACTATACCTCATAGTTCATTTTGATCCCTTAACTTTAAAAAGTTCCATAATGGCCCCATAAGTCTTCAAAACGTTCCATATTAGTCATTTTTGTCCTATTAACGACGGAAAAATTCAAAAATCAGTCGCTAAATTCGTATTTAATTAGACAAAAAAGACTAATTTGAAATGTTTTGAAGAGTTAAAGGATAAATATGGACCTTTTTAAAGTTAAGGAAACAAAATGAACCTCGTGGTATAATTAAAAGACAAAAAAAAGGATATTTTGCCTTAAAGTTATTAATAATTTACTGAAGATTTTGTTCTATTAGAATTAAAGTCGTATTTATATTTTACGAAAAAATAAAAATATTATCTTTATTAAAATTCAGGTTATTATCATACTTCACCAAAAAATTGAAGATCTTGTTTTTATCAAAATTCTATTAGATTATTAAATGTCTTTATTAAGATGATCCAAAAATAAAAAAAAGATGATAATGATTTTTTTTTTACGGGATTAAAATGATAATGATAAAAGGTGAAAAAAAAGTTAAAATAGTTTTTACAAAATACATTATTTGAATTTTTTATAAACATAACTTACTATTTTTTTTAAAGAGATTTTTTCAAAAATCTTAAAGCGACTTAAATTTAAGAGAAACAAGATTAGACAAAAAATAAATTGATGATTTAACTACAAAAGACTTTCAAATTAACAAAATATATTAACTCCGTTTCAAAATTACTGTTGTTTAAAGATTTAAAGTTTTGCATACAAATTAAGAAATACACTAAGTACACAAATGACCTATAATGTCATCAAACTTTTGATGATCTTTCGAACATAATTGGCTCTTATCATGTGAAGAGAAGTTGTGGATGATGTTAAGAAGAGTCATATGTGAAAAGAAGCACTCACAAATATAGAGAATTGAAGGAGTTGTAGTTCTTAGAACTTTGATTTGAAAATGTTGGCTTTTTGGTCAAACATTCTTCAACCAACTTGTATACTTGAGATTTTCTTGCACTTCAAAGCACGTGGATGATCATATGAACCCAATATAAGACGTCCTTGAATATCCTTTGATTAAATTGACCAAGGCTTGAGATAACTTGTTGAAGAAGGTATAGAAATAAACACACGAACCTTTGACTTTCTTGTGAAACAAACTACACAACCTTGAGGTACTCTAATTTAAACTGATATAGGCTGATGCTTGAGAATATATAATTTGATATTATAAGGCATATCTTGAGAAATAAGTCCTTGATAGTCAATGGATGTTCACATTTTGACTTGAGGGATCAAAACTCTAGCTGAGGAACCAAGCATGATGCTCTTGATGAAATATTCTATCTTGCACAATAAACTTAAAGAAACAAGACATATTTTTTGCATTTTGATTAATGGTTTGTTAAATAATAAGCATATAAACATAAAGATAAAATACACATAAAAAGGGTGCTTGGCGATCTTAAAAACAAAACCCCAAAGGATGAGAGAGGAGAACCAAATGTGATATTGTTTGTGTAAATATGCAAATTATAAGTGAGATCTTAGAGTTAAAAATTAGGGTATGACAATTTTCTTTCTCTATCACAAGCTACACTAGAGAGAGAGAGCAAAAGATATATATATATATATATATATATATATATATATATATATATATATATATATATATATATATATATATATATATATATATATATATATATATATAGATAGATAGATAGATAGATAGATAGATAGATAGATAGATAGATAGATAGATAGATAGATAGATAGATAGATAGATAGATAGAGAAAGAACGCTTCATATTATTTTCTTTTTATTTTCCTTTATTGCATGCCAATTAGTGAGATTTTGAATTTTGAAAAAAAACATTGCACTCTCTCTTGCCACGTAGCGCCTCCCTCCCCCCCTCCTCCCTCTGCCCCCCCCCCCCTCCCCTTTTTTTTTTCTTGTTCTCTTCTTTATTTTATTTTTTATTATTTATTTTATGATTACCTTTTATTTTTATTAGTGAATTAGAGTTTTTGTGTTTTGTTGGGTTATGTTAAATTGATTTTCAAATGTTTATACGTCATTATATGAATGCATCCCTGATTTTATTTTCTCCAGCTTCACCTTTTCTTAATAGTTTTTAATTATTAATTATTTAATTGATTTATTTTTTGTCTAATTAGTTGATTAATTATTTTTTTACTTGATTTAAACATGTCTAGTCATTTTAATTAAGTAATCTCTATCTATATTCATATTGTACATGTAAATAATCATCTTTATCTATGTTTTGTTTTTACTATGGTTTGTATATTACTCTTATTATTTATTATTATTTGTTTTATATTTATTTGTATTATTCTCCAAAAAAAAAAAAGAGACAAATGTATCTCAATCCCTTGTTTGTAGTTTGTATTTATTTGGTTGCTTTTATTAATTGAATGAATTAAAAAATGGACCAAAAATAAAATTAACATTTTCTAAAATAAAAACACTTGATCAACACAAAGTTCCATTTCCAAAAACACTTGGTCAACAAAGTTGCCACCATTCAACTTCGTTCCATTTTTAAATCTTTTCAAATTATTTTGCAACGCAAAACAAACCTCAATCAACACCGGGTGTATTTTCCCAAATGAAAAATCAAAAACACTTAATCAATATTAAACATTCTTTCACAAATAAAAATGAAAAGGGAACGAGGTGTAGTCCACGAAATTTCGAAAGTTAGGATACAAGATGTAGTTCTCGACCATCATAAACTCGTTATCCTCCAAGAAACTCTTAATGCGGTTAATGCAATGTTTTTCTCAATAAAACAAAAAACAACTAAAAATATCAAGCTCTTTCTCAAATAACATGAAAAGGGAACGTAGTGTAGTCCACGAGCTCCCGAGAGTTAGGATACGAGATGTAGTTCTCAACCACCCAAAATTCGTCATCACCCAAAAACACATCAAACTTTATTCTGCCGCTGCGCGATCATCAAACCCTTTTTAAAAATGAAAGATATTTCGTCTCGAGATGATGCAAAACAATGCTTCATTCACAAATGTGTGAGTTGAGATAAGTGATGTTTTCCCGTGAATATTGATATGTAGAAATCCATTCAATGTGAAGCAAACGCCCGCTCCTCACTTGTTTTGGATAAGCAATGTTTTTTGTCGATTGCAACAAAATAACTTTCATTAAAATCGACCAACAAAAAAATATTTTATACCCAGAACTACGTAGCCTTAAGTTCTTCATCGCACCCGAAAATACGTATGAGCGAGATCCAAAATCTCGTCAGACACCCTAATAAAAAATAAACCTTTTAGTCGTATTCTTTTTCCCTTATAACTCGAGAAGTCAAACATTTTTAAACTAATACTAATACACACAACTAACTAAATGGTTTTCGTTGAGTACAACATACTTGAGGGGTGATAATACGTTCCCCTTGCGTAATCGGCGCCCGAACCCCGATTTCATTGCGACGATCATATCTTTGTCGCTCTTTTAAGATTTTATTGATATATTCTCTTTCCCCCGTTGAGAATAAATAAAGTTTGGTGGTTGTTCAGTCCATTCCGCAAGCGTGCGATTGCGCTTCGTGAGCATCATATTCTTTTTTTTTGAGGTACGACAATTACCATCTTCTTTTTAATCGGATCCCATGACTTGAACCCTTCACACCTTTAGCGTAACCGACAAAGATACACTTCTTCGACTTTGGATCAAGTTTGGATCCATGTTCACTAGATATATGCACATATGTTGGACACCAAAAAATACTTAAATTGTTAAGATCAATATGACAAATTGTCCATACATATGTAACCTTCTTCTCCTTCGCATCACTTAGTGATTCGTTTATAAATTAAAAGATTAATTTTTCATAAATATACAATATTAAAAATCAAAACATAGTTAAAATTAATATTATTTTAAAAAATTATGTTTTAAAATAGTTTTATAAAAAAAATATTTAAAATAATTTTATTATAATGTAAATATTAAAAAATATAATAAAAAGATGAAATACATAAAATAGTATTTTGTTAAAATTATTTTTTTTCTCCGAATCTTTTTCTATAAAACTATTTTAAAAAAACTGTAATAAAAAGGTTCATATATACTAGATGTCTATCAAAATTAAAATCTAATTTTAATATTAAGACTTACAAGTAATTAGATATGTAAAAGTGATTTAAAAGTCATTAAAGTCTTTTTTTTTTTCCTAAGTTAATAGCCACTTGGCCTTTTTTCCCCTTATATTTATTTTTCCTGCGTTAACCTCTTTCGCAGGAAGCTTCAAATCAAAAGATGAAAAAGTAAAACGCAGCGTCACAGAACCCAAATATTCTACACACACTCTCTCTGACGAACAAGATCGAAGAAACCCTAAAATTTCACCACAGATTCTGTTCCTTCAACCAGATCTCAAAATCATGGAGAAAGAGTTCAAAATCCCACCGGTATCTTTTGCATCCGCCGGAAACCCATCTATCGGCGACCCAAATAGCCAACAACGTCGCGTACCAAGACCTCCGTTTCAACCTAACTCCGGCATCCCTTTCATGTCATTCGACATTGGTTCCGCCGCCGTTTCCACATCCTCCGGTCCTATATACACCGGCCCCGGCATCGGTGGTGGTTCCGTCAACTTTGACGACGAGGAGCCTCTTCTCGACGAGCTCGGTATTCACCCAGATCAAATCTGGAGCAAAATCAGATCGGTTCTTAACCCGTTTCGTGTGAACCACACTGTGCACAAAGACGCTGATCTATCTGGTCCTATTCTTCTCTACATGGCCTTTTGCTTATTTCAATTACTCGCCGGAAAAATTCAATTCGGTGTGATATTAGGTTGGATCGTGGTCTCTTCCATCTTGTTATACGTTGTTTTCAACATGCTGGCTGGTCGAACCGGGAATTTGGATCTACATACCTGCACCAGTGTCGTCGGTTATTCTATGTTGCCGGTGGTGATTTTCTCTGCACTGTCTCTTTTTCTTCCACAGGGAGGTTACCTTGGAATCTCGATCGCTGCAGTTTTTGTTTTATGGGCCACTAGGGCTTCCACGGGTCTTGTGGTTTCTCTCACCGATGGTGGCGATGAACATCGTGGGTTGATAGCGTACGCGTGTTTCTTGATTTACACTCTGTTTTCGTTGCTTGTTATATTCTAGGGCCATGTTTAAGAGCTGAGATTGGTTGGGTCAAAGTGCTTATGTTTTTGATTTAGTGAACATTTATTTTCTTCTCACCTTGCATTATGAACCTTCTGACATTCTATTTCAGTCATATTATGATATAGAAAATGAAATATTGCACTTGATTGTATATTTTCCTTTAATTATTTGTGTCTGTGTCTGGTAGCATATGTAGTTACTTAATTATTGTTCTGTTTTTGAAAAATATGTTGCTTTTGGTTCTGAGTAGATTCTCTCAAAGGCTAGTACATTACGAAAGTCCAATCCAGTTAGGGTGTTTGTATGTTGGTCCCAGGAAACTACATGTCAAGTTATTGTTCTTACTTGAACAGTTTTGGGACTGAAATTCATCACAATCAAAATGAGAATGGGTTCTTAGTGATCCTAACTTTTAGCAATATGGCTTGAGTAAGGGGATTTAAATGCAAAAGCTACATACTGAACTTTATTTTGCATACTTGGGTTGCAACATTTTACCTCCAGTGTATAATTTTTTTTCTTTCACAAGGGTGTCTGGGTATTCATTTTGATGGGATCGATTTGTACAAAATATACGTACTTATGCTTAAAACATCCACAGCAATTGCATATATCTTGAAAAGCTAGAGTGTTGCTGTCTTTTAGTTTAATGAGCTTAAAGTTTGCTCATGTTGCTCTTGAGAGTTTTACAGTTTCAAGACTCAACAATTTTCACTGTCAAAGTCTTCCAACATGCAAACTGACTCTTAGATATGAACTTAGTTCAGTTGTCCGCATGCTGAAACCCACTGACTTAATCATATTCTTATTGGATTGTAATCAGAAAATAATCAATCAGGGTATTTTTATCTTTGAAACACGCAGGTTCAACAACAGATGATAATTTGAACCTTTATCTGTTTATATAGAAGTGTAGATCTGATCTAGAATATATTCTGTGACTTGAATTTAAATTGCCACGGAATAATGGCACTATTATAAAAATGTGTATAAATTAAATGGTACCAGAGCATTATCTATGAATTACTTAGTAGAATGATTTTTTTGCAGTTTCAATTTTCATTTAGGCATCATCAATCTATAATATACCCATTAGATATATTGAACGGTTTGTCTAGAGTTTTTATATATTCTATGATTTGAAATTATGCTTCTTTCTTTTAAAATTGTTTTATGGGATATCACGAGCAAGCAATCTGTAAGTTAAGTGGAAATATTGAAATTTGATGTTTTAAGCATGCAGCCTGTTTCCTTCTGTATCTGTGCAAAACTTTGCTTGGCATTTTGAAGGCGAGTATGCCAAAAGTGAAATTTGTTTCACATGCGTGCGCGCGCGCATACACACATATATGTCTTGTGCTCTGATAAGTTTCTATGTAAATCTTGAGTTTTGAGATCATTGATACATGACGAGAGTGATCAAATCTTGAGTTTTGAGAACATAACGAATTTCATTGATTGATTTTCTGTCACGTTAACGAGAGGGCAGTATTCCTTATATAGGACTGGACTACTATCTAAAGCTGCTTTAGTTAACATAGCAAAGCTAAGTGAAGTTGGGGACAAAGAGGCTGAGAATATTTCAACTAACTGAACAACTCAATTCATGCAAAAACTTGTAATACAGTTGTTCATCAGGTTTCATAATCTTTTGTGTGGGTGCCAAATGTGGTTTGGGAATTCAGGTGATATCTATTCTCTCTACTTAGCACCCTAATACTAACTATGATATCCTTGATAAATTTAGATTGACTATATTATAACAAATTTGATTTGATAACAAGGGAATAGTTTTCCAGATAGATAGTTTTGAAGTACTTTTTATCTAAGTAGAGGAGTTAGTGATAGAAGTCCTGCTGCCTATAAACTCTAGAAAGTATGTGTCCTGTTACTTACATGCTATATGATTGAGGTATATTATTATACAACAATGGTAATTCTTTTTGTTAGGAATATCATTGTACAAGCAAATAACAGTTGCTTATGTTTTACATGTACAAATAAAATTTGTGGAAATCAATGAATCGGAATGAATTGTTGTTACATGAGTAGTATTAATGTTGCTTTTGTTGTCTGTTAACTGTATCATAGCTGTTGTGGAAAAAAAAACTATCACATAACCATGTTGTAACAGAAAATAATAAGCTATTAGTTAGCAGACATTGAAATCAAGTCAATGAGTTATATTAATGATTTAAATAATACCTTAACTATATTATACGATGGTAAGTGGACAACTAGACACTGACCATCAGTGCTGTACTTTTTTTCATTCTAGGTTAGATATTTGCTATGGCATGTTCAAGCTGACTCGTAAACCACTAAGACTAGGCTACTGCCTGGTGGCAAGGGGTTTGTTTGCGTAATTTGTTTGAGGTCATATGCTTAAATCTTCCTAAATGTCCCTATACTATTAGTGTTAAAAATATGTCCATGTTTCCTTTCCAGTGCATTTTTTTTTTTATAATTTAAAACAAAAATCATATGAAGTATGGGAAATATTATTGGACTGGATCTTTTCCTATTCTTCAATAACAAGATGTATTGTCCTGATGGAGATGAAAAATCATAACTTTTATCATACAAGAACCTATCATAACTTCTTGTAGGCACCGGTAATTATATTTAACAAAAAACTCTCTTTCTCTCTAATAAAACCATTTCCTGTTATATGTCTAAAGGTAAACCATCTCCTGTGATTAAAAATTAGGAGAAGATCCAAACTCAACAATATTGTCAATATAAAGGCTAATATGAAGAGTGCCTTCAAATATATTTTTTTGGGTGGGTTCCATTTGTTCTCTTGTGGACCTTGTTTTCATGAAGTCTCTTTTAGTGAGGGATCAGGGGTTTGACTTTGAGAGAAAATAGAGTGTGGAAAACTTGAGTTCTTTGTTGTTCATCTTAAAAGAGCAAGAATCAAGGTTTCTCTGTTTGTAACTGAATTCTTTGACTGATAGTGAAGCTGCTTTCCCCCGAGGACGTAGGTCATATTGACCATACCTCAAAAGTTTCACGTTGGTTCATTTCCATCTCTTAATATGCATTAAATTTTTGGATTTTATTCTTGCGTCGCAACTTGAATTCTGTGATACAGTTATTGGCTGCTATTTCTGTAGGTTCATTTCCATCTTAGTATGCATTAAATTTTTGGATTTTATTCTTGCTTCTGCAACTTGATTTCTTTGATACAGTTATTGACTGTTAGCTCTGTTGCGTTATGTTTTTACTGTTTTGGTTCTATCCGCATTGTGTTTCTGTCCATTATGCTTCTGCTGCGTATTTTTTTGGTTCTGTGATTCTGTGCTTATTTTGTTTTGTTTCTGTTCTGTCAATTGGGCTTCTGCTGCTTGCATATCTGGCTGAGGATTTCTTCAATTGCTGCTGATGTATTAGTGATTCTGCTTTCGATGCCTCTGCTGTGTTTGGGCATAACTGCATTTGATTAGCTTTTGTCACAGTTTCTTGTTTAATGCAATTACTGCATAGTTGCATTTCTGTTTTGCATGTTTCCTAAGTTGCACATGTTTCTGTTTTTGGATTGCATTTGTGCAGAATAAGTTCTCGAAGGCTTTCCTAATTGACTGGTTAAATCCAATAACTAAAAATAAAGGTCAAGTATTTAAAGTATAAAATTAGCACTGTAGATTTGAATTAAACACGCTTCTCCAATTTAGTCAACTTAGCCCATGGAGATGTTTCAGTTGTTTGGTTATCTGTAAAATTTTTATGGACAGATTTGTTGCCTGAATCTATTGTAATCTCCTTTGCTGCAACTAATCATGAAAACATAATTTTTCCTCTCGGGGGGACTTCTTACTTGGGGGTGAAAATTGTTAGTAGTCAGTGAGGTGCTGATACATGGGTTCAAATATTCCACTTGTTTTCATTCTCGTTGACTACTCACTGCTCGTGTTACCAACTTAATGAACTGAAAATTTTGGGAAGCTTTTACTATTTCACGCCAGGGCACATATAACATGTTTAAACACTTATATTCAATTATGTTCACTCTCCCCCTGATTGTGCATTGGATTTGCGCATACACACCAGTTGTTTTCAACACCTGTTATTGATCTATTTTAGTCAAGGCAACCTTGTTTCTTATTCTTTCTTTGAATTGAGTTATTCACTGTTCGGAAGTGCTTCCATGTTTTACCCATGACTATTTTCTTTATCTGTGTTCGAATCGGAGACAGCTTGATTCCTACACAAGTTGGTGTACCACTAGGTCAATTCATCCTTATGATTTAATTTACATCCATTTTTGTTATCAAGTTACACCACTGGATTTAAAGCTTTGTGACTCCTTGTTAATACACAAGATCTACAAAACTAGTTCTATATCCCAATCCTTTTATTTTAACAATGTCAATAATGAAACTATTAGGAATGAATCTCAGAGATTAACTGAAACTAACTGTGATGGATGACATTTAACATGGGAAATTATATGATTATTCATTAATTTCTTCAAATGAAACATTAGATAAATATATCCACAACATAAACTAAAACTCTATCCAGAACTACAAAGTTCAAGATTTGTTTTTTTAATCCAAAACTAAATATCCTAACTTCAATGAATCATTCATCATCATCATCAGCACCCTTGGAGGTGCCAGCTTTCTTTAGGAGCAGGAGGTTATGAATATTGGGCTTAACACCACCCTTTGCACCAGTAACATCACAGAGAAGCTTTCTCAATTCAACTCAACCTAATCATAAAACACACAAAGTAAGTCCATAGATCTACATGCCGGAGAAAATCAAATATGAATAAAAATGATTATAAATAGGGAAATGCTAATAATTGTCCCATAGGTGCTTTTTAAGTGTTTAAAGTGGTTATGATCTCACCGTTCTAGTTCTCTTGTTTTTTTAATCATTATATGTTCTAGTTTATCATATCATAAAGAATAGATATTTTTTATTCTATTCTCTTTTTCTCTTTGTCTCTTGGCCAGGAATTCAAGAGTGTTGCGAGAATTGACAAA